TGAGCAGAGGTACCGGTCGTGTCAGCACTGTGGACCGAGCCGTTATTGGAGTTGTAAAGTTGTGTTTAAATCATAATTTGGGGCGAAACTTTTATATTTTTTGAAGCACTGGCCTCTGAAAATAAAGTTATTTCTTTGTCCCTCTCATTTCACTATGGGCTTCCAAATAAATGCCTGGATTTGTTCCAAGATGGCTGCCTAGCTGTGAGACTTGCTTCCAGCAGGACTTTGCTCTGGCTCCAACAGACCAACATGGCTGAGGCCAGAAGGCGAATGTTGAGGCTTCAAAATGTGGAGCCCAGAAACCAGTGGGGCCATCATGTGTGGTTACATCATTATCTCCATCTTTATCTTTCTGATCATTTTCTAGAATATCTTCTCCTCCTTTCATCCTTTCACGCCCTCTCGTCTTATTTGCTACTTTCCTTTTCCTTCATCCTTCTCTCCTGTCCAGAGTCCATTTTTTCTTCCTCCTCTTGCCTATATTTCACTAATCGTTTTATCCATGCAGCATGACTCTCACTCTCTCTCTCTCTCATGCACACACACATGCACACAGCAGAAGGACACATTACCCCCTGTATGAACCGACTCAGCTCTGCCAGGATCAGGGGGGCTGCACAGTGCTGATAACACTCTCTCTCTCTGGAGACTTCAGCCGTCTCTGGTTTCATGTTGCGGCCGATCGATGAGTCTGAAGAATATTTCTGTCAGAACGCACGAAGACTTAAAGACAGAACCAACAATGAGATGGCGAATACGATGAAGCATGCACAGCAGTTAGACGTGATGTGTGTCGAGACGGAGGCCGAAGCCTGAAAGACCTCAGAGGATCAGAGTCTGCTTCACGTCTGCTGGTGTCAGTTTATCAAACACGATCCAGCATCGTGGGAAGTGCTGCCAGCGCCCCCTGCAGGCTGAAGGCTTCAGCTCATCTGAAACTGGACACATCTCGGTCCCTTCAGCTGAACCTCACTCTGCTTTTTTTCATATAAGCATTGTTCCAGATTATCTTCAACTGCTTTCTTAATATTGTTTCCATTTCATGCATCATGCTGAGAGTCACAAAGAGAAAAAATGGTGTAAGCTCCCCTACAGTCTGCAAAAAACATAGCTTTTCACAAGTGTTTGTGTTGTTCTGTAAAATATATAAGTAGCAAGGTCCTAAATCTGTTAAAGTTTAGACAACATTAGTATCTGAAACAGTAAATCATGTCAGCGGTGATGCAGGGTTAACAGTTTGGATAGGTTGTTGCTATAGTGTGACTGAGATGACAGGACTTAAATACCAAAGTACCTGTTCAGCTCCTGCAGCCACGGTTGGACCCGAGTGCAGACACAGACCACAGGAAGAGCTAAAAGGTTTATTAACAACATAGAGATTTTGCTGTAAAGATCATTTCAGGGCTCCTCTCAGAAGTGGAGAAGGGAGGGCTGCAAATTTAACAGGTGAGTGAGCAGGAAGCAGGTAAGTGATCTGGTTTTGAATGAAAGTCCAATTAATTCCAAACAGGTGCTGAGACAGTCCAACTGAGCTGTGAGAGAGCACACCAATAGCTTCTTGGAAAAGGAGACAAGCTGAATACCAAGAAACTAGACCAAGAGGAAGAATTAAGTGAGCCTGATGTAACCGCTGAGACGGCTGTATGATCAGGTAAAGCTGGAGACGACTAGTGCTGCAGATGATCGGCAGATGTGTATCAATGAATTGCACAGCACCATGCGGAGACTGGCCCTCTCAGCGATCTCCATCATCAGGCCGGAGACTTTATTGCAATTTATAGTTTGTGCAGTTCACCTGGTAACAACCCTAACAGGGTTTAAGGTTAGGCTTTGCTTTTGCTTTAGCAACATGCTAAACAGGCTAATAACCTTTAAATTAAAGAAGAAGAAGAAGAAGAAGAAGCCATCTTTCATTTTTCCATTTCGTGTTCAAAACAGGACAAGACTCTTACCTCTATCTAAAAGTTATGCCCTTTACATTTTTACATAATATGGTGCCATTTTGGAGCATTTCAAATTGCTTTACATCAATACAACCATTAGATCCCATATTTTAATAATATTCATTGATTAACACCACAGTTACAACATAAACTGCTAAAATTCACTATAAAGGGGTAAAAGGGGATGGCTGAATGATCAATACCCCCCACTCCTATGGTGCATGAGTTCAGCAAAGGTCCTCACAAAGATATAAGCACAAACCTTTGTGTGTGTGTTCACTATAATGACTTATTAATCTGTCCATCGCTCATCCGCTCGCTTTAGCCACTTTTACGATACTGCACTTTCAGTCGGGTTTCAATTGGCTGTTTAGAAAAAGCCATCATCCAATGAAGCATGCTGCTGCCTCTGTGTGTTTCTACTCCACCCGACAACTGGAGGAAACCTTTTAAAGAGTTTAATGTGTGATTTAAGATGTCTGAGCTGGGGTGAGGAGTAGAAGTAGGGAGGGGGAAGAAAACCAGAGCGAGAAGAAGAAGAAGAGAGAGTGGTGGAAAATTCTAAAAACAGACAGAGAGGGAGATAAACAGTCTTTATGAGCGCTGACATTTTTATGAAGCAGAGTGAGTGTGTGTGCATGTGGTCTTGTTTTTCTGTTTTTATGGAGTCTGAGATCGTGTGTGTGTGTGTGTGTGTGTGTGTGTGTGTGTGTGTGCGCGCGCACGCACTCTGCTGCCCTCAACAGCTACTGGCTGGTACAGCAGCAGAGGTACTTTTTGTAAATTCCTGTTTAAAAATAAATAATAATTTCAAACATCAACAGAATGTAACAACCAGTTAATATCATTTCATGTCCCAAAAGATCTGAATATGAATTAAAAACAGGCCCATGCTAGCTTTTATGCAATACCAATGTGTACCACAAGAGGGCGCAGCAAGTCAATGTAATCATTATTTAATTAGTGAATTGAGCACATCTTCATTTATAATGTGGACCTGGCAAAGACAAAGCTGCTCAAACAAGTCACACATCCACTAGAAAAAATTACAAAAACTACATAATTACGTCAAATCTTAGTGCAGCATATGCAGAAACATGTACAAAAAATGTCTAGCAAGGTTTATATGCTGTTGTTTTTTTATTTTATTTATTATTTGTTAAGACAAGATAAGATAACTCTTTATTGTCATTGCACAGTCATACATAGTACAATGGTACAATGAAATTGGAAAACTGTCCCACGTCGGCAATACATACAACACAACATGACACGACACAACATGACACCGTAACTTAACTTAGTGTCCTGGGTGTGTACAGTCCCATACAAAGCTGCGTGCCCTCTTGAGACAGCGAGTGTTGTACAGGTCCTTCAAAGATGGAAGAGGATGTCCGGTGATTTTTTGGGCCATATTAATGACCCTCTGAAGTGCAAAGGTGAAAAAAATCGAATATATAAACAAAATTAAGAAAAATTCCTTCCTTTTCTGGGACTGATCTTTTAATTGACTGAAGTTAAAAACATGGCCTGTGGTCTGACTAATCAATATTTTAAAATCCTTTTGATAATCACGGATACAGCGTCCTCCAGGTTAAAGAGGAGAGGGACCATATAAGTTATTAGAGTCCATTTTTTCCTTTGGTATGGGTAATATGCACCTCTGTAAAGGCACCATTAATGCTGAATGTTAGTAAAATAACAAAAAACCAAAATGCGTGTTCCAAACTGGCCCAACTGTCCTCCAGACACAATGAAGACATTTATTACATTATGAAATATGTCTGTGAAGGTTCTCAGTCATCCAGGTCATCGTGGTCAAAGGAGCTTGCAAAGAAAAGCGTCTGGACTTCTTTAAGTTACTTGAAGACGTTTCACCTCTCATCCGAGAAGCTTCTTCCCACTAGGTTTATATCTGGGACTCTCCACCATTTGACCTTAGAACTGAAGAAGCTTCTCGGATGAGAGGTGAAACGTCTTCAAGTAACTTAAAGAAGTCCAGACGCTTTTCTTTGCATTATGAAATATGACAAAATGTTAAGCAGCTGTAATATCCCAACCATTTAAACCATTGTGATGACCTAAAGATCATGTTAGAATAAAAACAAAAACCCCAAAACAAAACAATAAAGTCCAGTATTTTCAAAGGTGTAATATTGTCTTTTAATGATTTCCAAATTATTCCATCCTATTTTTAGTTTTTTTTAGCTGTAATTTAAGTCAGCTGTAATTTTTTTTAAGTCAGCTGACTAAAGATCAGTAAGGATTATGAGAAAACATTTTTGCCATGGGACCCTCGGTTCATGCAGGTCTTTATCCAGTCACAGGCCAATGAAAAAAAACAAACAACTAATGTGAATCTGATATACTTCAGACATAGTTGTTTGCATTTATATTATTTAAATAAATATTTTTTTAAATACAAGTTCCACATGTAAATAATTACCTGTGGAAATAGAACAACAGAGCAGGCTCTTGTCCTTGTTTTGAAACAGGCCTGATTTTAATGGACAGTGTCTCCCTCTGTTGGATAGACTAAGGAACTACTAATTAAATGAGCGTTTAATCTGTATACTACATATTTTATATGTATATCGTATCTGATACAAATAAAATGTAACATGCTACAAAACATGGTGGTCTAAATTTAAGTTAATTTTTTTTCAGAGATTAAAATCTCATGTGCAGAGACTACACGCAGATCGTAGTATTTCATTAATTCGTGGCTTATGTGCATACACCTCCAACAATATGTTGTTATGAGGGTCATGTGTACCAAACAATAAAATAAAAATTTACACAATAATTGGTGAATTTAAAAAACATTCAAATTAATTGAAATGCAATTAATTATCACGTTAAAAAGCAATGTAAGCTACTAAAGGAATTAACTGGAATTATCGCATGGTATTTTTCATTCAACAAAAGATGTAATATCACGTGAGGTACAAAAAGATAATAATTATAAATTCATTCAATGATTACTATAGAACAATAAAGTGACGCAACGATAGGTCACGTGCCTCCGCTCTTCCGGCTCCGTGTCCAATCATATTTCAAGATGAGCTGGCACTAAAATACCCGGAAGTGTTTACAGCAGGAGGCTAAACTAGCAGCTAACAGCAGAGTCAGTGGAGAATTGAAGCTCCTGGAAGTGCAGTGCGGACGCATCTCCTAGCCTGTGTGCGGTGCTTGTTAAGGTGAGTCCCACCTGTTCACTAACAATCAGCACCCCGATTCTTTCCAGCTTACCGAGGCTAACTGCTCCTAGCAGCAACCAACAGTTAGCTTCAGCGAGTGGCGCGAAATAAGTGACTTGTTTTTGGAAACAAGCGCTTGGAATAGATGTGAATTTGAAACAGAATGCTCGGTTTTCCAGAAAATAGACTGAACCTTCAGTAATAACCTGGGTAATTCTAAAAGAAAACGTAACTAGTAAGGGGAAACTAGCTAGCATGCTAGTTCGCTAATGTAAAAAAACAAAACAAATTTAATTACTTCCCAGCACATAGTTCATTTTATGGACTTTAGTTCCAGCAGATACATAGACCTGCAAATTTATCTGCTCACTGGAGAGTCTGCAAATTGGGAAGATGTGAAATGAGTGCTGGTAGGAGAGTAAAGTTTTTAGGTCAGACAGCTGAGAGTGTCGCAGCTGGTAAAATGTACTGCCAGTGAATCTTTGTGGGTTGGTTTGTTGGCTGAAGTGAGCTGTAACAGGGAGCACAGTGTTGTGGGATCGATGAGGGGCGTTATCAGTGTTTTAATGTGTAAGGAGGCGTGATGCTGCGCTGTGTTTCTGCAGTTTTTGCGGAGCCGCAATGACACAGCTGTTCTGAGCTGCCATATCTGAAGCAAAGCAAACCCCTCACGAGTGCTCACACTGCACACAGCCAAAGAAAACACTCGAATGCTTTATTCAGATTTTGTTTTAGCTTTTGTCTTTTTCACTTATTGTTGTCAGGGATCGTCTACAAAGACGTCAATCTCAGAATAAGGAGAAGCCTCCGGCCTCCACCCATCGGGTTGCTCTAAAGTGGGCTGTGTTGCTTTTCAGTTTTGTGGAAGAAGTAAATGAGTTTATTAGATTTAATCTTAAAACAGGATTAGGAGTGCATTTTTAGAAAAATGTCATTAAGCTTAGCTGAAAGAAGCCATACACTGAAAATCCACTTTCATGGGGTTGTAACATTTTTTATAAAGTATGATCTGTGAAAATCTGGCTTCCACAACATCAGCAACATGACAGTTACCCATTTACATTTTTTCTTTTTTTAAATTTCATGCCGAACTATGTGAAAGTCTTGAGCCACTCCTCGCTTCTTTTTCTTTAGTTTCCAAAGAGTCAGACTTTTTCAAAGTGGTGTTAAAGTAATAGTTTTCCAATCTTTCAAATGTTTTTCTTTGGATGTTTGTTCTGCCTTTTCACTCATTTTCAGTCCAGTCCATGCTCCATTTTCAAATAATTTTATTTTGGCTTTCTAACCTGTGAACTATTCATTATAAAAAGGCACCTAATTCAAGGGATGAGCCAGTGTTGTGGCTACACGTGGCTGACAGTTCAGTTTTATTTTATTTATATAGTGCCAAATAACAAAAACTGTTGCCATAAGGTGCTTTATATTGTAAAATACAGACCCTACAATAATACAAGAAAATAGAGGAAACCCCAAAAATCAAATGACAAGGTGCAGTGTGTCCTTAAAAAAATGTGAGGAAACTGGGCAAAGTGTCGTGCCTAAAAAGCTACTGGTATGTCTACCAGGTGAATTCAGAAATGGTCTCAATGAAAGGCTGGTTGTCAAGAAGCCATTCTTCAGGAAGGGAAACTGGGAGAAAGGTCAGAGGCAGATTACACAAGAACTCCTATGGAGCAATGGATCCAGATATGAATTTTTTTTTGTCTGGAGGTTGGGAGAGCAGTACAACAGTGAGTGTCTACAGCCAGCTGTTAGACACAGTGGAGACTGTCATAGTTTGGAGTGTTTCAGCCAGCAGTGTGTGGTTCACCACTGGATTCATTTTTCAGTAAGACAAAGATCTCAAACACACCATCAATACAATAAAATGCATCTAAAAGTAAAAATAAAATAGATGTCAGTTACTGACATCTACACAGGCAATCACAAGAGACTCCACCCATTCCTGGTCTCACCTGTTTGGCCTGCCGCCCTCAGGGTGAGGCTACAGGTCTATCCAGACTCAGGAACAGTTTCTTTCCACAAGCCATCATACTGAGCACAGATACACACATGCCCCACCTCAAAACACACACCTCTCTCATGCATACAACGCATACACACAACAACATGCATATTAGCACCCTTGCATATCTGTATAAACGTTTTGCATTTATGTTGTTTGTATTTTTATATTTGTTTCTATTGTTATTTGTTCTGAATTTAATGATTGACTCACAGGTGTGAATGTGAGTGCGAGTGGTTGTCTGTCTCTGTGTGTTTGCGATGGATGGATCTATTCTAAATGCTGCTCACAGGAAGTTGCTTCTGTATTTGTTGAATGTCTGATGTTTAATGACAATAAAGGGATTTGGATTCTGATTGGCCTCCCTGGAAAGCAAACTTTAACATTATTGAAGTCTGAGATCATCTTTATAGAGCGTGGAACAAACGGCAAGGCAAGTTTATTTATATAGTGCAATTCAACAGCAAGGTGATTCAAAGTGCTTTACAGAGACATTAAAAAACAGAAACAAATAAAAAGCATGATTTAAAATGGAGAAAAAAAAGGAAGGAACAGTAGATAAAATCAGTAGTTAAATGTAAGTTTTGAAATTTAAGCTTAAAAGTAAAACACTGTGGATTTGGTGCTTTATTCAAATGCAGCTGAGAACAGGTGAGTCTTCAACCGGGATTTAAATAAACTGAGTGTTTCAGCTGATCTGAGGCTTTCTGGGAGTTTGTTCCCAGAAACCAGCTAACATCCAGAACAGAGCTTTGAATTTCCTTGAGTCATTCCTGAAGACCTGAATGACAAGAAAGCTGACTAGAGTTTAGGCTGTGTTCAATAATAAAGGCAGTTACAGCAAATATTGACTTTCAAGCTAATACAAATGGTTTTTTTGCCTTAATATACTTATGTTTGCATGTGTTTTGTATCTATAGTATTTCCAATTTTCCTAGTAAATTATAAAGAAAGACGGTTGGCTTCACACTTTTCGCCGGTACTGCTGCAAACCAGGAGGAGCTAAAATGCAATAGGTGCTAAGCAGAGGTGCTGTGAAACTGCCACTTTCAGTTTAACTGTTGGATTTAAAGTTTTGTTAGGGTCTGAGTTTTACGTGACGGAGCACACTGTTCCTGCCTCGGTCAGTTGGGTAGTTTGTGTGACTGGTATGTTATCACGTTAATTCTCAATCTGATGAAATGAATATGTTAAACATCAGAGCAGCACATCAGCCAGAGGCAGCCAGAGCACTGATGGATGAAAGTGTCTGATAACTGGGTGGATTAAAGTCATACAGTTTGTTCTAATGTGCACTAACTGCTGTACGTTGTGAATGGCAATAAAGTAGTTATTCTGTTCTTCTGCTTATTGAGAACGATTAACTGTAGATGTCATGATCAAGTGCCATGTGATGGTGTTTTTGACATGTGAACCTGCTGTGTTTCCTGTTCAGAAGTCAGGATGAGTCTGCAGTGGACTGCGGTGGCCACCTTCCTCTACGCTGAGGTCTTCTTAGTTCTGCTGCTCTGCATTCCCTTCATCTCACCCAAGAGGTGGGTAACACCTGACTCACACACACCTGTCTTGGCATCAGGCTTTTTCCAGCTCAAATCTGATAGCGTTACCTTGGCTTAAGATATCTGCCAGTACAAACTACTGCCTGGAAAGGTCAGTAGTTTGTAGTAAACTAGCAGCTGGAAAGAAATGACTTTCAATCCATTTCACTTTTAAATGAGAGAGATTATCGTCTAAGCTGTCAGTCAGCTGGGTTTGACCGCAGTTTAGTCAATAAAAACATTTGCAAACATACAAACAAGGTGTTGGCGCACCAGTGTGGAATATCTCCAAACTGTTGACACTTTTTTGTTCCACCGAGTTTATGCTTGCCGTCGTTTGAGTTGATGTATCAGCTGGAGCTCAGAGTGCCACTTTACACAGAGGGAAAGGTGATAAGGCTGTGGTGATTTCACAGATGCACATGACACAACCAGTAATGTCGGCTCATTGTTGCCGAGCTTTTGGGCTGGTAGGGGACCAGTTTTGATGCATGCATCCCTACACCGATCCTTTTGTAGTTTAGTACACCTTGAAAACAAAACAAAGTATCACAATCACAAGAAAGTACCTCTATAGAAATCAGACATTTTAACAACCCTGCTGATGGATGTGTCTTTCATGGGAAAAATTACAGACAATTAGACAATTCTGGATATTGAATGTTTTCTCTGCCTTGCTGAAAACTTCCCCAATCATGGATTTTCGATACTGTCACACGATAAAACAGACGGCGAGATAAACCTTGGCCCATCTGGGTTTAAAGCAGCCAATGCAAAGCATTTACAACATTGTGTCCGTGTGCTGTTGGCTCCATGAGAGGAAGCTTTGGCCGTTAATTTTTAGCTGGAGAAGCGTGAAGCTCGCTGATGGAAGCAGCAGAGTTCAGTTTGTCCTCAAACAGAGCAGCTCTGTGTGACTGTGATCACATTAATAGACCTCCTGACTGCCGAATGATGAGCTCTGATTAACTCTGCACACACGGCACAGCGCTGATACGAGCTGAAATCCAACAAAGAAAAAAGTCAATAAAAGTAGAGAAGTTTTAGTGCTAGACCTCATAGAGGAGTTTTTAAATTATTTTATCTGACTAGATATCAAGAATTAAAAATAGCCTTTGTTTTGTTATTTTCATATGTGAAAGAAAGTTTATCATTTTTATCTGATTGACTGTTTGTAGCAATGGTGTAACCTAACATGGATAAATGCAATAACATGACCTCTGCCTATGTAGGCTTTGAGCAACAGTTGCGTTTGTTGGATGGTACATTAACCCAGAAACAACAAGGATAAGTAATATTGTTGTCCCTTTTAGTCAGTTTCACACCGCAATATCATTGTTCTTGATTCATGACTCCACAGATGGAAGCAGGAAAACAACAACTCAACTTACTTTACAGTTTTGTTGCTAACCATAATTACAATTTAATAAAACAAGGTGTCGACATGTTTTTTGTTTGTTTTTTAGACAACAAAAATAAAAATAAAACAAAATGAAATTGTACTTAAACTGTGTAAAATGAAAATGTGCAATTTTATATAATAGCAACGTGGTTATTCAGACTGAAACTTTGGTGTATCCAACTCCCTCATATGGAAAAAAACCCCCAAAACTGAAACTGTTAAAAGTTCTAAAAGTACTAAGAACTGACTCTAGAAAATGGCTCAAACTAAAGCAAATTTAAAAAAAAATTCTATATAATATAAACTAAATAAAAATAAATATAAAACTGTACTAACTATATTCTTAATAACCAGCTTCCTGCAGAGGTCACTGCACAGTTGAGCTCATGTCTGTTTTTGTTTGGCCCCTAGAGGGGGCTAGAGCTCCAGGCTTAGTTGCTGTGTTGTAAAACATTAAGATCACCATTCATTCGTCCATCCTTTCTCTTCTGCTCTCTTCCTTTTTTTTTTCCATCACTTCAAGCGTGCTAGGATCACTTTTGGCTCCCAAAAGATGCGATAAGATGGATTTTAATTATCCCAGAAGTTCAGTTCCTGTCCTGCAGAACCAGTAGTGTCCAACAGAACATTTAAAAATTAAATAATGGCTTCATAAAATAACAAAAAACTCATTCAGATTACTCCAAACAAAGAGTTAAAAAATAAACAAAGAAAAGAAAAGTGACTCTAATGTCTCTATAATGTAAAAATGTATAAAAGTGAACTTCTTGAAGTTGCCGACTGATTTGTGTTTTATTCTCCTGGTTGTTGTTTTTTTAGGTGGAACAGCATTTTCAAATCTCGCATCATAAAGGCCATCACTCTCTATGGAAACACCGCCTTCATGGTGGCCATCGCCATCCTCGTCTTTCTGCTCATCGGTACGTCTGCAGTGCTTTTGTTGATTGGTTGGGAGGTGGCCTTTAGCCAAAGTGTAGTCGATATTCTGCATTCTTCCAGTCTGTGGAGGACGCTGCTGTAGCTCCATTTCAATCAAGTTTGATGAAGCACGGGTAAACAACGGCACCATCAGTTCCTTACTTTGTAATAACAGCGTGTTCAGAGTCCAGCTGATGAAATGTTGCCAAACTCTTTATCAAAGGAGTGTTAGGCAGAAATAATGTGTGGCTTTTATAACATTTAAAACTAAATTAAAGTTCGGCATCAGTCTGTGATTTTTGTAAAGCATCAAAGTAACTGCAAAATTTTCCCAGATACATAACATCTGTCGTAGTTGGATCACAGGGATCGCAGATCACAGGGATTCGAGATGTTTCCATCTAAACATAGAAGCTACTCATTTGGTTGTGCAGAAAGACAGCTTTATTTTTTCATATGCTTAAATGTTGTTTAGGAAGTACAACTGTAATTACATGTTGTATTGTGACAGTATATCCAGTACTTCTCTGCTCAGTAGCCACATTTATCCGCCCAGGTTTACCACACATCGTGATTTGAACTAGCTTCTAACATAAACCAGGTTTTTCCTGCCAACGGCCTCACAGAGAGTTTACTTAGAGCAAGAGGTTTTCTACTAATAATAATTATTTTAAGCAGTTGTTTAAGTTCGGATTTTAAAAACATCAACCATTAACAGTTCAGTACCTGTGCCAGAAATCAGTTCTGTTGTGTGCGTGTGTGGTAGGACAGTGTTTGCTCCCAGTAAGCACCGACTTTGTACCTCAGCCAGCAGGGAAGCAGCAGAGCTACAGTGCAGCTACAAAATAAGTTTACTGTGAATTAAAGATGCAGAAAGGTGACGTTTCCGTGTGTTTCCTGTACAGATGCTTTCCGTGAGGTGAGGAAGTACAGTGTGACGGAGAAGGTGGATCTGGCAAACCACCCGACAGCCATCGAGCACATCCACATGAAGCTGTTCAGAGCACAGAGGAACGAGTACATTGCTGGCTTCGCCCTGCTGCTCTGCCTGTAAGACACACACACACCCCTCACCTCAAGCTGTTTAAGTTTTAGGATCAGCCACAGTAGCCTCACTTCACTGGAAAGACTTTAAACCAAGGATACAGCTGTTAGCTTTTGTGCTAGCAATCGGATAGTTGCTCAGAGAACGACCTAAACGGTCGAACCAGATCGGCTTCATAGATCGGCACATCGCCACTAATATCTGATCGAACTTTCTGGATCAGGATGGGAACGATACATGATGCTGCCTCGTGCATCTGGACTACTCGACCTCATGGAGTCTAAATTCTGTTTGTGTGTCATAATAGCCAGACCGACTCTCCTCCATGGGCTGTCGTTACAGATCTGAGCTCTGTGGGTTTTCCGGTGGGTTTTTTGTTTAGTTTTTTTCGATTTCAATCACAAAAAAGGTGGTTTCATCTTCTTTGCCCTCCCACTTCCACTTAAGAGTCTCTTTATAAAGGGAAGGGTAAGATAAGGTGCTGTAAACTAGTTCCTAGGCAGTGTCCCATCCAGGTAGTAACCAGGCCGAGCTCTGCTTAGACTCAGAGATCACAAAAGATCAGCTGTGCTCAGGGTTTTTAAAGAAGGTGCAACATTTCTGAACTGCGGCAATTTTTAAAATTAAAGACACGGTCTTCTTATTCCTTGTTTTTTGTTAGATCATTAAAAAAGTATTAATTAAATTAAAACATATTTCAAAAATAGATCCAAAATAAAACAAACAATGCAAATAAGCGCACTAAGTTTTAAAAGAGGCAAAGAGCTGCCTGATCCTGTGCTAAAATTGTCACAATACAGAAGTCTGTTTGTGTTGTTGGACACATGGCCACTTTTTGTGTTACAGACTTTGACTCTGTTGTAATTCAGCAGTAATAGTTTTGGTGTCTGTAGCACGTATGTTGTCCACATTCTCCACCAAAGTCTGTCATCCTGCTGTAAAAGAAACCAGAGCAGTGAAACCAGTAACTTTTTCTACACCCCTTCGCCATCCTGTTAACCATTTATCCAATTAAGTGTCGCATGGGGGTGAAACTAGTGGTTTTTAATGCCTAAATCTAACAGTTTCAACACAATTAAAATCAGGAGCTGAAGTGTAAAATTGTTTCCAGCTGTGTGAGCGGTGAAATTATTCACCACAAACTCCGAAAAGAACTGCAAATTAAGAGATTTAATGCCATGAAGATTCCTCAGACTCTTGTTGAGTTTCCTCCATTTTTGACACAGAGTGGATGCTGCACTGTAAGAGTGTTATTAGTAAGCCTTCATCATTGTTGGGACGACTTTATAGCCGACTTTCCCTTAATTAAGGCTGATTGCTTGGGAGTGCTGAATCAGTCGAAGCCTCCACAGGAGCATGCAAACAGAGCAAAAGGGTCGTCGGTGCACTGAGGAGTGAGGAGACGACCACATATGGGAGTTAGGACCAGCGTGCAGCTGAACTTCTCTCTGAACTTCTGTCCTAAAGCGAGCTTGCAGTGGGATACTCAGTCGCACCAGAATAGACCCAACAGGCCGACTGATCTAAACTCAGAGGAATTTAAAGTCGGACGGAAAGAATGAGCAGCTGACCGTGTGTGTGTCTGTCAGTGTGTGTTTCCACTGTACAGTGTAAATCCCCATCCAGATTGGACAGAGACCTCACAGGTGCGAAGCAGCCTGATTGGCTGACCCACTCAGAGTCAGACGTGACTGAGTACAACTAACCTCAGACTTCAGCAACATGGCATGTTGTTACTAGTCTGACGGCTTGTTGTTGGGTTGAAAATCCATAAAGTTACCAGTGAAGTCCATCAAAGAAGAAGGCTTGTTTCATTCGCCATCCTCACATACTGACTTAAGAAGTCAGTATGTGAGGATGGCGAAATCTATAAATAGATTTCCCTTTTTACAGCAGGAAAAACTGAAATTACCCATTCCTGAGGTGAAATCCTCAGATCCATTGTCTTAGATCATTTCTGATATCGTGTCTTATTTGGGACAGGGTGAGGAGGGAGGTGTATGATCTGCTGTGACCCCTAAAAGGAACAGCTGGAAGTAGTATTTACTTTTTGTATGTATCACAGTTATTGTCAATACCTGAAATTTGTCTCCTGTGTTCATCAGAAAGTTGCAAAACAAAGTGTGACTTGGAGACCAGCCTGTCTGAATCTTGAGTTTTCACAGTATTTGAATGCATAAAAAGCCTGATCTGAATGCACTGATCTTACACTAAGACTACGTCTTTTTACGGGAGGGTAAAATACAGCAAGCTCTCAAATCAACACCCTGTAGATAATTTGAGAGATTTATATTAGTTTTGCAGCTTTACTTGAACCTTAGAGGGTCTTACTTACGACGCAGCAGTTGGTGAAATTTATGACATTTGCATGCGTATTTTATTGATAACAATTATTTGCTGACGGTTCAGTTTGAGTTGCTGCTGCTACAGTCAGCTGGCTTCTCGTGAGTGTTGTGTGAGATTTTATTTTGAATCTTTCTAAATATTTAGTTGAGCAGTCAGTGGTCATGTGACCCTGACGGATCTTGGTTGACCTACAGCTGGTGGGTCTAAGTGACAATAAATCAGGACAGATCAGTTTGGTGCAGTTTTGATTGCAGAGTTGTTCTGTGCCCCCTGGTCGCCTGCAGGGGGCAGCAGCACGTCCTTCTTGTTGCTGCTCTTCTGGGGTACTTTTTGGTGTGCAGCAGCTGCTGCTCTGTGACTCACTGTGGCAGCGTAGCATGTGATGCGACAGCTGCTATAACGCAGATGCCAGGAGGAAGTTTAGACCGTGCCCTCCGCTGCCAGGCCGCTGTGATTGGGAACTCCAGCTCAAGAATTTCCAGCCTGAGCCAAGAAGAAGACTGTGGAAAGGCTGAAGCTCTGGCAGCTGCCTGGTCAGATTATTTCAGGCCTGTGAAGTAACTGACAGCCGTATTTGGAACAGACAGTCGCTCCTCCTAGAGACACTTGAGATGGAGAAATCTCTTTTATTCCTCGTGTAAACTACTCCACTTTTGGTCACCTTGAAGCAGTTTACACACCGATCCAAACAGGCTGCTGTGGTGTTGCAGAAGATAAATCAGACTTACAACCTGATGTATCTATTAAACCGCTAAAGACACCAAACTTAAACCTAGCTATACACACACACCCTCCTGCTGCAACAAATATGGCATCCAGCGACATGTGTGGAATAATCCACCGCTGTTCCTGACTAATGCACTGTTTTTTCGACATTTTCCGTGTTTGTTATAGTAAACATTCAAGGCTGGGGAAAAAGCAGTGAGGGAATTTTAAACCATGAACAGTGATGTTGCTAAAACAATCACTTGGTGCCTTTGCAGAAGTAAAACATTGCTTATTAACTACTTAAGAAGTAATGTATCATCCTGCGTGTTCGAATACCTTTACAATACTCTGCACCATCCGCTGAGCTGTGGTGTTATTAACAGTTAACATATTTTTCAGCCTTACTTATGCTAACACAGCAGCACAGATCAATAAGGAGAACATACTTCTAGGTGTGGCTTTTCAGGCAAATTTTGTTTTCTCTCGTTGTTATAATAGTGCATATTTGCCTCACCATAAATGCCCAGAGTCACCCAGTGTGATTAATCTTGAGCAAAACAAAGACTCTTTGGTCTAAGTGAATGTGTCCCGCTGAGTCTCTCACCTTGGTCCCCTTTCAGCACCATGTGATCAGGCTGTTGGTCTCCATTTGGCTACTTTTCAGATCTCCTCTATGAATCTGTCAGAAACCAACTGTTGCCCTTGCACAGACAGCCTTTGTGGTTTAAATCACCTGCTAGTTTTGAGTGTAATTCTCTACCAGATGACCTCTCCAGCTCCTCTTCAGCTGTTCTGTCCCCAGTTAATTGTATTTCATTTGAATTCTGTTGAAAAGTCAAGAAAATTCTTGTTGTAAATACTGCGGATTTAAAAGATCGTTAAACCCCAGTGTGTTAGATTAATAACTGAAATTACAAAATTTAGCACAATAATAATAATAGTAGGGCTGCCACGATTAGTCGACTAGTCGTGATTATCAAAATCGTCTGACTGATTTAATAGTTGATGTGTCGTTTGAAGTTTGGTAAGATCCTGAGAGACGCAGGAATAAGTAGCAGGATTTAAGAGTGTAATAACGGACTGAAACAGAAGATGGCAGCACTGCATGTACAAGGATGCCAGCTGCCGTTAAACCCCGAAGAAGAAGAAGCAGCTGTGTCCCAGAATTCATAGCGCGGCCCAGCTTAGTTTCCAACAATGGCGGCAGCTAGTTAGTTTTAATATTACTCTTATTATTCTTTCTGGGTCACAAAATAAACGTTTAACGTGTTTTCAGGCGAGAATGTAGCTGTGTAAACCTCAAATATCTGCTCAGTTTATCAAGACAACACATATTTTCAAAAGCGCTCCGACGTTTTCGGAGACGTCTGTTACCCACTAGCTCGATAGCTAGCCGGGGGCAAGGTCACTAGAGCCGTGAGAACACCGGACTCCCGGCAAATTGTTTTCAAACCCACCGCCGTCTTTCGCTACTCAGGTTAAATATATATAAGTCACTTAGATAACTTAAAAGTGTTATTGTTTGGTTTTTTTCAGTATTTTATTTGTTCCTGAGTAAATGGGCTGAGTTTATTAAACTCCACCGAAACAATCTGCACATTTAATTAAAATTTAATAAACTACCATCTAGAGCAGGGCGATATGGCCAAAAATATTTATCACGATATATATTTGAAAATTTGCGATAACAATATAACTGACGATATAATTGATGCGAGACAAAATACAACTCCACAACATTACTAGCGCAAAAAGACAACCTTCCATTTATTTTCACTTAAACAAGAAGCTGGTTTTTATGTACATTAAAGCTTTATAAAAATGTAACAGTGCAAATGCAAATTCCTTGCTGAAAGTTTAACCAAAAAGCATTTCCAGTAGAAATGGGCTGACATATCCTGAGCATAACCATGTATAATATCCACTGAAGTTAAAAAGAGGTGCTTTGCAACATTAAACTGCAGTGTGCAGTACGCATTTTTCGGACCATAAGGTGCACGGGATTATAAGGCACATTAAGCGAAACAAAGCAGTCAGATAAATCAAACTTTATTCAACTCATTCTTCTTGCTTCCTCCACTTCTGTAACATTGATTCATTAATGTTGAATTCTCTGGCAGCTGCTCTATTCCCATGTTGTTGCAGTATATTAATGACTAACCTCGTATTGTGAATGGATTATCTCAGTTGTTCTCCTGACTGAAGTTTGGTCCATTTACAGCATCCCGCCATGCGACTGCATTTGTCTCTAACTATCAGGAACCTTAACGTTAACTTTTATAAGTGGAAAAGTGTTAGTGTTCGTCCTCCAGCTTCACTGTTTATGTTATGCTAACATAGCTGTGTCGCTAGCGATCACATAGCACATCATTATATTCCAGCTAGCCCAACTTCAGTAACCTTACAAACGTCATTGCTGTTTAGTTTCTTGTCTTCATTTATGTTGGAAGTGATAGCAGAGCTGTACGTTTGATTTTTTTCCAGAAATCTCTCCGTCAGAACATGCTATATCATGCTTAGGTAACTAGCGAAACTAGCGAGCTAACTTCCGCTAGCTTCCTGCTAACTTCTAACTCCGTTAAATGTAATAAATTTTGTTTTCATGGATGCCTGGAAGTTAAACTTCATAGTTACACCTGGTAAAGCAGCAATGCTGATCGTTTTATTAAAGATGAAAGAATTTAGACAGTTTTTAACTCTCAGTGATGCTGCAGTGTTGTTTGACCTGAACGATACGGAGTTTAGGACCCAGATTACTCCCAGATTTAAGAGCATCTTAGTCCGACAAATACGACAATAACAACGGCCGCTTGCATGTTCTGCAAAAAAAATGTGCTTTGTCGTGTATCTGAAAGACAAACACCAAACCAGTTCCACATCACGGAAGTTGCACCATTTTTACAAACCAATGCTGGTTCATCTGTTTCACTCAACAATCGGCCATGTGCGTATGAAAACAAAGGCACTGCACATGCGCGTTTTACTCATATTCTATCGCGATATTTCATTTTCCTATCGTTGCCTAACATTATACCGGTATTACCGTGAACGGTATAATATGGCCCAGCCCTACTACCATCTTGTCTTTATTTTTAGTTAGCACTAGGGCTGCCACGATTACGTCGACTATCAAAATCGTCGACGACTGATTTAATAGTCGACGTGTCGTTTGAAGCTTTGTAAGATCACAAAAGACGCAGGAATAATAGCAGGATTTAAGAGTGTAATAATGGACTGAAACAGAAGATGGCAGCATTGCATGTACAAGGATGCCAGCTGCCGTTAAACCCTGAAGAAGAAGAAGCAGCTGTGTCCCAGAATTCATAGCGCGGCCCAGCTTAGTTTCCAACAATGGCGGTAGCTAGTTAGTTTTAATATTACTCTTATTATTCTTTCTGGGTCACAAAATAAACGTTCAACATATTTTCAGGCGAGAATGTAGCTGTGTAAACCTCAAATATCGGCTCAGTTTATCAGGACACCACATATTTTCAAAAGCGCTCCGACGTTTTCGGAGACGTCTGTTACCCACTAGCTCGATAGCGAGCCGGGGGCTAGGTCACTAGCGCGGTGAGAACACTGGACTCCCGGCAAATTGTTTTCAAACCCACCGCTGTCTTTCGCTACTCAGGTTAAATATATGAGTCACTTAGATAACTTACAAATGTTGTTGTTTGGCTTTTTTTTTTTTTTTAGTATTTTATTTGTTCCTGAGTAAATCGGTTTGTCTGAGATTAAAGTTATAGTTTTTACACAGCTGAATAAACGTCAAGCAGACAGCTGATTATCAGAAGTGTGAGATGCTGGAGAATATACTCCGTTGTCCTGTTATATTTTAGATAGCAAGGAGTTTATTAAACTTCACCGAAACAATCTGCAAATTTCATTAAAATTTAATAAACTATCATCTTGTCTTTATTTTTAGTTAGCACCTTAAAAGCTTAAAGCTGTAAGCTAATGATAGTTATATAAGAGCAGATGCTGCTGGTGCAATAAGCTGTAGTTTTACGTACAATGGATGATGATCTGATTAGTCAACTAATCGCAAAAATAATCAGTGACTAGTCGACTATCAAAATAATCGTTTGTGGCAGCCCTAAATAATAGTGAGACTGTTTTTTGGGCATAATCGATCAGAGTGAATGTGTATTGGGTCACTTTTGCAGCTCACAGAAACTGGTCAGTGTGTATTTGACATTTTGTCAGCGCTGTGTGTTGCTGGGGAAGTTTTACACCCTGAAAATAGCTGCAGGTTGAGTGTGAGTCAAACTGCACAGACAGAACCTGCTGGTTTCTGCTGTTTGTCAGAATGTTCCTGAATGCATCACCAATGAGATATTTACAACTGGCACATGGCTTCAGCCTCAGATGATGGGGAACCAGCAGCCACGAGGTAACTGCTCACCGAGGTGGTAAATTTACCCCCAGCAAGCTTCACATCTGCAGGTTTTTTACAGAGTGAAGTCAGCTTCAAATTTCAGTGTCCTGTTACTCATCTCTGCAGGAGAAGCCTGATTTTACATTCCTGTGTTTAATGTTTCATTCAAATAGGTTATTCATAACAAAAACACTGAAACTAGGCAAACTGTTGTGAAGACTTAAAAAAAATGAATTAAAAGCAAAAGTAGAAAATACTATTTCAATTAAAATCAAATGCTAAACTGTCTGCTTGTTAACCTACTGTATGTGCACTAAAAGCATCTCAATACGTGTCATTTTGTCCACAACCAAAGATGGAGCAGGTGGGGATCTTTTCACATCAAAAGTCTCAGAGTCTGGAGTCTGATGTGAGCTGAGAGGAAACGCACGGTTCATACTTTCATTTTATTTTTCTGTCTGATAACTATGTTGGCAGAAGTGCTCTGAAACTTTCCAGCCCGCTCAGAATAAACTCTGGACTACTCCTTTAATCCAAAGCTGCAGCTCAGTGATTCTCTCCCACAACTTACATGAATGGGGGCAGATATTCAGTGTACCCGCCCGCCCTCCACCCACAGTGAGCTACAATTACATCACCGCCTGTCGACGCCACACACAGCACGAACGCCTCACACAGCACGCGGGGAAATGTCAGGGGTCACAGTGTGTTACTATACATGTATCCATGCGTGAAGCGACTCCTGACTTTGTGATGTCATAATCCCGGACCTCTTTACTGGGAACATGGTGATCCTGATCTGATGATTTCAAAATCTCTTTACTGCGTTGTTGCTTCTGTTCAGAAGCTGCGGTCAGATGACCTCATGCATGGTTTACTATTCCTCTTTAAAAGATACCTGCAGATATACTAGGCAACTCTGTTTTTAAGTAATTCAACATTTATTTTCTGTGGAAAATATAAATGAACCCCTGGAATCTGCTGCCCCTCTTTACCAGGAATATCTTGTGGTAGATGTTTTGTAAAACAGATCACTAGTTTTGGATACTCGATGGCTGGAATTCACAAAATTCAAAGCTCGTTCATTTGGAAGATATTTAATGGTTCTCCTGTGGGTACTGCCCACTCTCCAGGATGTTTACTGATGAGTTTCAGGTGATGCTGAAACTTTATCAAATTAAAGGAGGCTGATAAGCAGTCTGTTTAGTGTGATCACATACTGATGTTTTGTCTGTTGCAGGTTGCTGCGTCGCCTGGCCACTCTGCTCTCCCAGCAGGCTTCACTCATGGCCTCCAACGAAGCCTTCAAGAAGCAGGCGGAGGGCGCCAGCAATGCCGCCAAGAAATACATGGAGGACAACGAGATGTTGCAAGAGGTGAAAAAAACACGCACACAGAGTTTTGAGCTTTTCAAGTTCTGCTGGTAGAAAACCAGTCGTCAGAGGTCATGGGTCACACTGCCGTAGGGATGGGTATCGTTTAGGTTTTATCCGATACCGGTGCCAAACCGGTACTTTTGAAACGGTGCCGGTGCTTAAACTGTGCTCAAACCGGTACTTAAAGAATGGAGAACACAAAATTGGTCCAAAAACCTCTCATGTTCAGCTGGTTTTTTTGTAAAAAGATAACAATGTTAGCCTTTTCTGCAGCTATGGGGCATATATGGCATCACTCTTGGCTGGAAGCAGTGCTTAAACAATGGAAAAAACACAAACTTTGTCCAAAAACCTCTCATGTTTAACTGTTTTCCACTTTTTCTTTGGTCATTTTAGCCTTTTTGGCCAGGGTGAAGGGAGTATCTGCCATCAAACAAGAAGACAGCCGCATGTAACTACGGTGTTTGCTAGTTCACCTTACATGCATTAATGTAATAACGTGGTTAGCCTACTCAACGTAAATTACACCGTTGCCAGGTGTTTCATCAGATTCGAGGTGTTACCTCCTTTGACAGTATCACAGTATCAGCTTAAAGCACTTGTTGCTGCTGAGTTTGCATATTTTGCTATGAAGTATAGCCAGACTTTGACCGCTTCGCCTTGGGCGTTTTTAATCTGTAGCTCTGCTCTAAAAGAACGTACGTACCTGGGCCCGCCTACTATCCTCGGAAACGTAAAATGATTGGCTAGAATCTAAAGTGTATCACAGCTCAGGGAAAAAAAGCACCGAAATAAAGCACCGAAATGTGCGCTGCTTTTCGGTCTGGTTACTACCGTTTATGTCAGACACGGTGCCATCATGGCACCGGATACCGGTACCCATCCCTACACTGCCGTCATGGTGATATTTGGTAAAAATGGTTCTGTTCTGTGGTTGAGGATTGGCTGTTTCTGGAAGAGATGTCTTTCATAATAAAACTCCATCCAGCTTCACTGTTCTGCAGAAACTCCAGACTGGAAGAAGCGGATTCCCAAGTTTCAGTCCTGAGTTTTGGAAGAACAGACACAGCATGCCAGGCACATTTTATAGAGCAAGATACTCTAAAAGCAACTACAACAATTAAAAAATTTTGGGTGCCGCTCAGAGACGGGAAAAGGCAGTATTTTTAGGTCTGTGTGATTGAGAGGCAGACCCCACAGGAGCCATAACTTAATAAAAATGACTCCTGGGTTTCTTGAAGTGGTTGCGGTGGAGCATTTTTGTGCAGGAGACTGTTTGCTTCTCTTCTTTGGAGTTTAAACTTTGTCTTGTGAGCCAGTTACTGTTTTATACGGCTGAGAAGCTGCAGTTTGGCTTATCTCAGCTGCTTTTCCATTTTCCATCCCAGCCCTGACAGTTAAATTTTATCCTGCATGTTAGTTTTAATGTGTTCTTGCTCTAGTGCATCCTCTTTGTGCTGATTTCTCTAGTTGCACTCCTGTTTGATGCAAACACCACATGCTCATGACTGGAAGCGTCATCCTTCATCTGGAAATTGATTCAGCACATTCAGAGTTCAGTTTGAGTCACCACGCCGATTTGTACAACAATCTTTGCTTTTCTGCACCAACATGGCAGATTTTGTGCTGTAAATCTCAGAAATGAGCCCTGAATTTTTTGTTTTCTCCTTCCTGCTTCACAATAAGGCAACACGTATCCCTGCAGGCATTATGGGATTTATTTCCTGCTAGTGTGTCCTTAGGCCTCTTGGGCCACAACCTCAGTGGATGTAACATTACAAGGCGAACTCCCAACTCTTGAGCCACGATCGCCCCGGGTTACAGGTTCTCTCAGTAAAACATCAGCTGCTGGCTTTCAGTTTCCTCTCTAGAGAAAGTGTAAAGAGCTCAGAGTAGATCTGCTGCTCCTTGGTCACCTGACAAGGATGCCTACTAAGTGAGGCATTTTAGGCGTGTTCAGCCGGAGGTGGCCCAGGACAAGCTGGAAGGCTCTGTGCCCCGACCCCAGAACAGCTGAGGTTATCGAAGTCTTTGCTAAAACTGCTGCTAAGACAGAAATGCTGACCCTGAAAATGTTTTTAGCATTTTTGCAGTGTCTCTTTTCTATCAGATGTTTATTTCTGATCACACGTTTAGTTTGAGATGTAGTTACAAGACAGGAACACTAGAGGGTGCTCAGCTAACAGTAACTGTGGTCCCTTCTACTGTTCAGTTAGTGCAGGGGTGCGGGGACTCCAGGCCTCAAGTTCTGATGTCCTGCAGGTTTTAGATGTGTCCTTGATCCAACACAGCTGATTTAAATGGCTAAATTTGCTCCTCAACATGTCTTGAAGTTCTCCAGAAGCCTGGTAATGAACTAATCATTTGATTCTGGTGTGTTGACCTGGGGTGAGATCTAAAACCTTGAGGCCTGGACTTCCCCCACCCCTGAGTTAGCTGCTCACTGCAGCTTCACTTGCAGATTAACTAGCATGTAGTAGGTCTGCAGCACAGACGCTGTAGATGTTGTTTGTTAAAGAGAAATGTGCCACTCACTGAGTGTCCTGCTTGAGTCATGATGATACACAGTAGAGCTGACTAATAACAAAAAATGTTAATCACTAACATTGAATTTGACTCGTGTTAGTTTAATAAGATGTAACCAAGTTAAAGTTGTAGCTGTTAAGCATTTAAAGCAAAGGGTAAACCAGCTGTCTGGTTAAAGTGGTATATTCACATCGTTTTAATTCTTGAAAAGTCTTTGAAAGACTAAATCTGAGTTTTGAAATAGTGGAGTGGTGCAGGGTTAGGTTTAGACAGGAGTTTGTTAGTTCTGGACAGATAGGGGTGCTAGCTCACTTTGTGCATTATTAAATTGAATCCCATCCTGGTTCGCTATCACAGTAGCCGGTTCTAATAGGTTTTCTGGCAGAAACCTCAATGATTGATAATAAGAGTTTATCAGGTGCTGTTCGCGCTTATACTGTGTTGTGCTTCGTATTCCCCCCCGCACGCACGCACGCACGCACACACACAATCCATGTTTGACATTGTTTCATTGACCGTGTCCCAAGGTGAGGAACGGACAAACTGTCCATCCAAAGCAACGTTCCCAAGGTTGAAACTTTGGCAGTGTGTAAACTGTGGTAAAGGGTCCTGACGTTATTTCATCAAACCCCACTTCAGCTCTGGGTTTGGTTTCCATGAATGTGTTTACACGTTCGACATTTCAGGAATATTTGGCGGCAGCGGGGATTTTTCTCAGTGACTCAACAAGGATTTTATAAACTCCCTTGAATGTTTCCCAACAACACGCTGATTGATCTCATCAACCAGAGAGGCAAAGTTCAGCTTTCTGGCAGCTGTGCAATAGGTAATAGTAAAATAAGAGAAAATGCATATTTTAAGATTTTTTTAAAAAGTATTCCAATGTAAATTATTGAGTTTTTAAATATATGACGTGGGCTGAGAATTGCCCTCATTGAGCATAAATGTTCTTTATGGCAATGACTGCAGTTCCGTAAATAACCACTCGAGGCAGGCTGTAGAAGTAAGTCAGTCCTCCCCATACAGCCCTATATTAAAGTGTCCAGCTTTACAGCAGAAACAGAGAAGTGCTGCAGACGCAGTTTTGGCCAAAGGGGACAGGTTTCTTCTTTCATAACTCTGTCTGTTTGTTTGTTTGTTTGTTTTAAATAAACCATCATGTTGGAAGTGGTGAAACTGCTGTGATTGACACAAGCAGCTGTAAGCCTCCCTTCTGCTAATTGCAGTCAGAGTGTTGATGTTGAAGTGGTCCCGTCTTTTGTCTTTTATGCCTTCTTTCTCAGTGACTGTGATCAGAAAGTGTCAGATGCTCGTCGGAGTGAAAACTAATTCATCTCATTTTCATTTCCAAAGTGTACTGTTGTAATGGGCTTAGGGAAGTCATTTATAATATTAAAAACAATAAGACAGCAGTGATATTTAAAAATGATATGTTATACTTTGATTCTGGCCTTTTTTTTTTAAAATCTTAAACTCATCTAAGAGTCAGTAATACAAAAAAGTTTAAATGAATCGGTGACAACACTAATAAGTAAAAACTTGATGTTATGCTCATGTGTTCACAGGTTTGAGTAGGCCACAGGAGATTCTCAGATTTCATAACGAGCTGTGATCGTCTTTTTTTTCTTCTTTTTTTCTTTTTTTTTGTTAGGATGTTTTGCTCCAAGGAGTCTTCTCTTAAGACCCAGCGCGCGTGCGTGTGTGCGTGTGCGTGTGTGTGTGTGTGTGTGTGTGTGCGTGTGTGTGTGTGTGTGTGTGTGGCCCCAAAGGTCAAACGTACACGTGGAGTTACAGGAAGACGCAAGTGGTCGTGCAGCACTCACTGATTTGTCAGGGTGGAGTCACTTTACTGCAAACACAGGTCACAGTTTACACTGAGGGAGGTGTGTGTGTGTGCCTGTTTAGATGTCTTTGTGAGGACTGAAAACTGTAATGTTGCGTTACTTGTGGGGACCAACGTTCACTTATGAGGACAAAAGTGCCCGGCATTTTTGAAACTCAATGTGGCTTTAGTGACAGGGTTACAATTAGGTTATGGTTAGGTAGGTCAGGCTAAGGTTTAGGTTGGTGGTTAGGGTAAGCGACTAAGGAAAGAATCAATGAGATGTCCTCACTAAGATATCAAAACAAGAGTGTGTGTGTGTTACTGTAAAGGCCAGTAAGATGATCCTGGGCACCTGCTCTGCTCCATGTAATTACGCAGAGGGACTTCTAACTACTAACTAATGTCGAAATTGCAGATCTGAGATCATTTATTTGCTCTGTAAGATCTTTTTTTTCCCTGTGGGTCCATGAAGCAGGCAGGATTTTCTTTAAAAAAAGAAACCTATTTTGAGTTATTTTGTCTTTGGTTTGGTGTAGACAAAGAATTAACTCAGCAAAGAGTTCAAGGTCGGTGTTTATCAAACATGAGAGGAAGAAATTGCCAAAAGTCCTCAGAGCGTTGCATTCCTGCTTTTGTTTGTAGCAGCAGATTAAAAGCTTTTATCCTTTCCCACTGATAGAATTTTTTAGAGGGAGTCCTGAGCTGAGAGGAGCTGCAGGAGGTCACATTCTTGTAGAGATAATCTATGAGGGCAAAGCCTGGCACAGAGACACAGAGGAGGGCTGTAGCACACTCCTGCCAGCAGCCTCAATGTTAATGTGCTGTACCCGAATACAGGAGAGAAAGGGCTGTTCCCACAGGCAGTGAGTGAAAGAATAAGCAACAAGCTGATTAGCTGCCAATACATGTAGCTGTCGATGTGTCACAGCCGCCCCGAAAAACATTCAAAGCGCTTCTTTGGGCGCTGGTGCCTGCTGCTGTGTTCGCTGTCAGAGTGATCCCACACTGCTTCAATAATGTTGAAGTTCAGGCTCTGGGGAGGCCAGTCCCTGCCTGATGGTGTTGTGTGTTTTTTTTAATATCCCTGTGCTTTGTTTGGGATCGTTGTGAGGCTGAAAAATGAAGATTTGCCATTCAGAGACTTGCAGACGCTCACTGTTGCACCCCTCTCCTCTGTACATATTGATGAGCAAAAATGTAAAATGTGACTCCTTACTCCATAAGATGTGTTTTTGCTGACTCTCAGTTCAGTGCTTGTGTAATTTGGAGTACCTCTCCCTTTTTTCCTGGTTTCCCCTTTCCTAAGAACAGCTTCCTGAAAGCGTCCATCTACTGAGACAGTTTCAGATGAGGCGGGTTTTTTTCTGTTTCTTTAAGACTTCCAGCTCCTCTCCATCTGCTCTGTATAGTTCAGTGTCTTTTAGGTTTGTCGCTTCTTATTTTGTCCTCTACTTTTTTACGGTTTTCACATTGATATTTATTTATTCATTGTAAGGACACAAATGAATGAAAAAAGCCAATTTCCTGAGACCATAATGTGAAAGGTCTTGAGAAAGCCAGGAGAGCTTTGCCTAATAGCACTTTAAAATATTACAAGATCGTCTGTCTCCTTTGAAGCAGATTATAAAGAAATGGGGAGGTGGCTCAAGACTTCTGGAAAACACTGTATTTCCTTACAGTGGTGTTGTGACATAAAGCTCTGCTGGACAGATACAGCACTGTTTGACCCTAAACTTACTCAAGCTGTGTCATGTCAATGACTCAAAAATACTTACTAGCAAAATTACAAGAGAGGAAATTAATTTAATTGAAGGGCACAAAATAAATCAGTTCAATTAGATTTATAATAGCATCAAATCAGTTGTCTCAAAGCGCTTTATACTGTAAGGTCAAGACCCTACAATAATTATAATAATAACAATAATAATGATACAGTTGGAATTTTTTCAAAAGTGTATTTTTAAAACTAAAATGTTTTGTCACAGCTAGTTTAGTTCACTGTAATAACCTTGTTAACCTCCTATAATGCTTGCCTTTTTATTTTTACATCTGTTTCTACATTTTAAAAAAGCTGCTCGTGTTTCACTTTTACTGTAAATTTATGGTTTGTGACTCGACCGCTCGCTGCTCTGTGATCTTTGGTGCGTCGGTCTGATGACATCGTGCCATCGGGTTCAGTTCAGAGCAGTGAAACCAGGGTTTATGGCCTCGTCAGTTAAAGGACTAAAGCTCAGCAGCTGTTTAACTCCGTCACACTGAGCGAACACGCCAATGCGTCGGTCTGACAAACTTATTGATGCTCTGAATATTTCTCAATTAGGTTCTGTCTGTTTCCAGCTTACAGCGAGTCACAGGAAGATTTTCCACAGTCTGCTTTAAAAAAAAAAAAAAAAAAGAAAGAAATTACAAAACTGATCGAATGAATTATGAAATGAAATAAATCCAGTAATCCTCATGACTCCAGTTCCTTCCTCAGCAGAAATGGAAACTGAAGATGTCACCACCACTTTGGTCACACACACACACAGTGATGGTTTCATAATGCAGCGTGAATCAAATTTGAAAATGTTTAAACGAGCACGAACGCTGATTTTCCTCACGTCACCCTGCATGAATTATTGTTCTTGAGTAGTTTGGAGTAGGGCTGGGCGATATGGCCTAAAATCCATATCACGGTATAATTTGAAGCATGTGCAGTAACGATATATATCGCAATATATTCTTTTCTTCTGTATAACGTATTTTCCACACTACAAGGCACACTTAAAATCCTTTAATTTTCTCAAAAATCGACAGTGTGCCTTATGTAGGAATCTGGTTGTGCTTACTGACCTCGAACCGATTTTATGTAGTACACGGTGCACAGAAATCTATCAAAAAATATTTAGTACAACTTTGGTAAGCTATGAAGGCGCACCGCTTGATGGATTGCCGGAGCGTTACGGCTACCATAGTCAGGAGGCTTGTGGAGTAATCCAAAACTCCGTCCGCTTCAGGTCCCAAAGTCAAACGAACTCTGCGGCATCACTGAGAGTTAAAAACGGTCTAAATTCTTTCATCTTTAATAAAATGATCAGTGTTGCTGTTTTACCAGGTGTAACTATGAAGTTTAACACCCAGGCATCCGTGAAAACAGAATTTATTAAATTTAACAGAGTTAGAAGTTAGCAGGAAGTTAGCTCGCTAGTTTCCACCTAAACATGACATAGCATGTTCTGACTGAGAGATTTCTGAAAAAAATTAAAACGTACAGCTCTGCTGTCACTTCCAACATAAATGAAGACAGAAAACTAAACGGCAGTGACGTTTGCAGGGTTACTGAAGTTGTACTAGCTGGTATATAATGATGTGCTACGTGATTGCTAGCGACACAGCTACGTTAGCATAACATTAGCACAGTGAAGCTGAAGGATGAACGCTAACTTTTTCCCACGCGATAAAAGTTAACGTGAGGGTCTCTGGTGGTCAAGGACAAATGCAATCGCATAGCAGGATGCTATACACGGACCAAACTTCAGTCAGGAGAACAACTGAGATTATTCATCCACAATACGAGGTTAGTCATTCATATACTGCAACAACATGGGAATAGAGCAGCTGCGAGAAAATTCAGCATTAATGAATCAATGGTACGGATGTGGAGGAAGCGCAGTTTTTGCTTTCCCCGTATTCCAGAACTGCTTTGCCTCTTTGCTATTACTGTCGCCGGCATGATTTGCAGATGATGTTGTTTTTATCCGCCGCAGCTTGATGACACCATCAACTCATGGTAGAGCGGTATAGTCAAAATCTCTACCGTTGGCCAAATTTATATCGTTTCTACCATATATGGTTTATACCGCCCACCCCTAGTTTGGAGGAAATGCAGTTTGCTGCAGACGGGTCGTTAAGATTTCAGCTGCTGTTATTTGTTTTGTTTTTTGTTGGCAGTGTTAAATTAAGTCAACGTCTGGCTCATAAGAGTCAAGCGCCACTTTCTAACGAACTCCAAATTCACTTGTTCTCCCAAAATCTCCGTTAGTCAGCATTTCAGAAGTTTTTAAAGTGGTCAAGAATCTGTGGTCAGCCCTTAAATGCAGGCTGCGAAGTAGGAAACACAAAATATGTGTCACTGCCAAAACCTTCAGCCATGACCGAGCTCCTGATGAATGAAAAGGTCAGGTATGGACCAATGAGCACAGTTGTGGTATAAAGCAGTGGTGCACAGCCGGTGTGTTGCTGTAACGGTTCTCTGGACTCAAACTGGGTCAAAAGTTTGGAGTTATCTGTGTCAAACGGAAAGATTTCAAATATGCATTAGGCTTCTTTCAGCTCTCTGGAGACTTTCAGATCTGCACCAGAATTTAAATGGCAAACATCTGGCAGATGTTAAAGGGCTCCTTTTTTAAAAAATATTGTTTGTTTTTCTAGAAACTGCGTGAGGCTGGTCTTGAGCTGCCGGAGGCTGGGAAGAAAGGACCAGGACCACAGGAGGAGAACAAGACTCTGAAGGAGGAGGTGAAGAGCCTGAAGGAGGAGCTGGAAGCCACCAAGAAAGGTAAGGTGGAGGAAACGCAGTCAGTAGGTAAAATCCACAAGAGATGAGGAGGAGAAGAAGTTAAAGGAGGAAGACTGAGACAGAGAAGATGAGATCTGAGTGAAAATGAGAAATCTGTTTGTTTCACAGCTCTGCAGAAGTCGGACAACGACGTTCGTGCCATGAAGAAACAGTCCGCGAACCTGACGGTGGAGTACGACAGACTGCTGGAAGAGCACAGCAAACTCCTGGTAACACACACACACACACACACACACACACACACACACACACACACACACACACACACACACACACACACTAAAATCTCCAAAACAAGAATTTAAAAAAGAGGCAAAAGCACGCAGGAACCAAGGCACAGAGCCCCCTGACGGCCCTCGTTTAGAGTCATTGCTTAAACATGCATTCACTTCTATTATCCACCAGGGGGCGATACCTGAGGTTGCAAAAGAGAGGTTTCTGGTCCTGTAGAGGTTAATGGGAGAGATGGCCCTTCGCGCTGACCTCTGTAAACATTTACTGATGAGTTGATGAGCTCAGTCACTCACTGGAGGCCATAAATAAAATACTTAGTCCTCTTTTCTTTAACGTTGGTCTGAAAACGAGGATTATCCAGGATATACTGAGCGGAGGGCACAGCGATATTTAGCGTGTGTGTGAGATCAGTTACAGTTACAGCAGCTCATGACATGGTTTGGCTGCATGTTGTCATGGCGATCAGCTGTTTTTATGTATTTTATCCGCAGGCGAAGAGCGACAAGAAATCAGACTGAGGAGGACATCGACGGTTCCCGGCTTCTTTCATCTTCATCACCGTCCTCAGTAAACTGTCTGCTGCCTCTGCTTCCACCTCCGCGATGTGATGTCACCGACTTTTGGGCCAGCTGACATCACCGATGGCTGCGATTGGTTAATCAGACTGTCTGAGCTCTAACATAAGAATGTCGGTTTACTGTCAGACTTCCTGTGTCACTGTTTACACCTCTGAAGTGTTTCTGTTTTTCTCTCTTCTGTCCACTTTGCTGTTTAAAGGCCAGCTTTGGGGTTCTGTTGTCCTTTAAACAGCTGACCTTTTCCTTCACTTTCCATAAACTGTTTTCTTCTGAGGACATTCCCTGATTAACATTTTTGGAGCAAAGTAAATCCAAACAATGAATCCTGTTCCCTGCAGGAAAAGATCATCTTCATTCCAAAATAAAAGCATTTAGTCCTCTCTGCACATTCTGGTTTAAAACATGCTTAAAAAAGTCCAAAGGATGGCTGTGCCGTCAGATTTCCTTCTTTCTTAAACTGTAATTTCCATCGAGACTCTTGTGAATATGAATGTTTGGAACTGCAGCAAAGATCACTTATTACGAGCAAAACAAGACTCCGGCGTCTCCCCTGGTTTCTTCTTCTGGTTTGCCTGAACTCTGCCTGAACTCTTCGTCACTGTTAGGCGTGTGCTGAACACACACTTTAAATTTTGGAGCTGTTTGATGCTCCACTTTCGGTTATTCATTACAAAATGTTAAGAAAAGAAAAGGCACCCGTGTCTGTTCTGCTTGTGTGGTGTGATCAGATTTTTGTTGTGTCTTTAATGACGTGTCACAATAAACATGGATGATTTCAACAACAGTAAGACCCCGTGTGGTGCAAAAGGGTTTGATATGTCAGGTTTTTATAGGCTTAAAAAAAGGAAATTAGTGATAGGAGGAGGGCTGATGATCAGCTGATCATGAAACCATTTTTTTTCTTTGCTTGAAGGAAAAAGTGTGTTTATCTTTGAGGATGGATCAGAGTCGCCACCTTATCCCTCTTTAAAAACACGGGCAGGTTTTTTTCTGAAAAGGTTTAATCATCATTTTTCTTGTTTATGTGGAACTTCTGGTTTCTTGGCTTTTGTTGGGGGAAAGTGGACGCAGCTTTCACCTCAGTTTACCGTTTGGCTGTGGGTCGATTTCTGATCGTTCTCATGTACGAGCGTCACTTCACGACTTTACTCGGGTTTTGTTTTTGCGTTTTAATTCTCATGAGGTTTATTCTGCAATTAATGGCACTTTTTAAAATCACATTTTTGATATTTTAATGCATTATTTTGTTCTTTCATCTCATTTTGCCACATTTCCACTTGGACTATTTTGAAGCCTTTTCTCCTTTAACCGCAATTAAAGTGCGTTTAGTCTCCAAATCTCAAAGGCTGCGTGTCTGAGTGACGTCACAGAAGGAAAAATATTTTCTGTTTGAATTCAACCATATTGTGACCGCTCTGTTGACATGGGTTAAGGAGCGATCCCCTAAATATTAATATGTAAAACAAACTGTTCGTGGTGATGGATGAAAGTGTTTTATTTAATCACCTACAATTTATCTGGAGTTTTTCTTTTTACAGTAATTTTTTTTTCTTCTGTTAAACCCACAATGAACAAAATGTTCTTTAATTTCTTATGAAAGCTTCTGTCGTCTATTTTATGAGTGAGGCTAACTTTTTTTTTTTTTTTTTTCCTCCATTTGAAGAAGAATTTGAACTTTATGGCCGTATACTTTAATATCATTAACATAGAATCACTCGTGGGTTTTTTGATGCAGTGAAACGTTTCACTCTATCTTTCCTGTAAAAAATAGAATAAATTGTTTCTCCCAATGGAAAAAATCAAATTCAGGATCTTAGTAAAATGGAAAACGTCAAAACTTTCTCATTCTGATTCTAAAGGAGTCGGAGGTTTTTCAGAAGCAAATAAAATTTGAGGAATGTTTCCTGGAAGTGATCTGGAAGCAGACCCTGTAAGTTGAAGCGTTACCACCTCAATCAGTGGTTTAAGATCTGCTGCATGTGTTTGTTCTGTTTCAGTCACAACCTTCAATAAACTGACAGAAACTCCGACAGCCCTTCATCAGGACGATTATATTCAGATCAAACTTTGTGTCGATTCTTTTTCTTTCTCGTGGCTAAACTTGGTGTCGCATCTTCACCTCCTCTTCACACTTAAAAAGGCAGCTGTTGGTCTAAATGGGCGTTTGGCATTAGAAACTGGTTTGAGCCGCACGGCCGAGCCTTCCCACCGTCCCGCTGGCTCATCTTTCTCCATAGATTATCCAGTATTTCTTGTCAGCTGCTTCCTGGAAGTTCAGACTGTGTTTGAGCCGTTCAGGCCCCAGTGAATATTTATAATGATCAACAGACCTGCTGCTTTCATGGCCACAGTGCATGCAGTACAGCAGAGGATTTGAAAGAAAATCTGATGTCCTGCTGGTTGAAGATCTGGTGTGTTTCGTTAAATATCATCTGATTGAATCTCCTTTAACATGGACTGTAGCCTGCTTTACTTTTCTTAGATGTTTCTTAAACACATCACATGACCACAGGAGGACAACAAGACCGATCACAGTCATAAAGTTACAGTTTGGAAACGAGGACAGCTATAAGGATATTCTGCCATAAGTCTAAACCAAAGACTAAGTGAAAAACTGATCGGAGTAAAAACATTTTCTTAAAAGTTTGTGTCTGTTTCAGGGTTTAGGTTTGATGGGATAGAATTAGGTTCAGCGTACAGGACTTGGCACGCAGTTGTGGTTGAAAGTAGAGTTAAGAAACTTAATGTGAACAAATGTCCTCAAAGATTTGGGCTTCTCCTCAGACACACAGGATTTTGCCTCATAACACTGACACAATAACTGACAGATGGCCATACGGTGATCTGTTAAATACGAGTGGAATACTGGACTTTTTGGGCCGAGCCTCTGACCATCCATCCGTCTTCTTAACCGCTCGGTGTCTACTTGAAACCTTTTTTTTGTAATGGACTGAGAAACGTTGTGGGGTCTCTGTGAAAAAGTTCGAGAACCTAAATGAACCTAATAAGTGTGTATTTTGGACTGAGAGGTGAAACCTGAGTACCAGGACCCTAATACAAACAAATATACTACCAAAAGTTTGGACACAAACTTTTATTTTCATGAATATTTAAATTGTACATTCTTCCTGAAGGCATCAAAACTGAACGAACACATGCAAAAGTACGGAGCAAACAAAATAAATCCTAAATAAGTCTTAATATGTTTTATATTATAGATTCCTGAAAGTAGCCGCCCTTTGTTTTGTTACCAGCGCTGCAAACCCTTGAACGTCTCTCAGTCAGCTTCATGATGAAGTCACCTGAGATGGTTTCACTTCACATCTGTGCTTTGTGCCTCATTTGTGGTATTTCTTGCCTTCTTAATGAGGTTGAGACCATCAGCACTGCAAAAGTCCGGTTGGCAGACAGCTGACAGCCCTGTTTGACAACTGTTAGAATTCAAGAACTGAAGTTCAGTCGGTCCAGGAAAATTCTTAAAACTTTGAATGAAGCGCAGTTTATGACCTCAGACACTAACTGAACTGAACTGAATAAAACATTTAGTCCTTTTTTTCTATGCTGGTCTCCAGGATCAACACATTATTGAGTGGAGGGCACACCGACTTAAAGGTATATTTAGCAGCTGCTCGACACGCGTGTGTGTGTGTGTGTGTGGTGTGGTGGTGTGGTGGTGGGTGTGTGTGTGTGTGTGTGTGTGTGTGTGTGTGTGTGTGAGTGAGTGAGTGAGAGAGATCAGTTACAGTCAGGCTGAGCTTCTAAAAGCGTTTTCAGATATTTGATTTGACACTTGAAGCTCAACAGATGCAAAGTGTCATTTTATATTCACACAGGTCACCAGTTGCACTCTGTTGGCAGATTGAATTACAGATGTGGCGCACAATATCTGAGTAAGAAGAGCTCTGTGATGATCTGGAATAAATTTGGATAACAAAAGGAAAATAGATCAAAATTTGTCCGAGTGGTGTTTTTCACCCCCAAGTCGAACCAGTTTAACGCCGTGTCCCTTGTGAGAGTAAATGGATGACACAGTTTGGCTGCAGTTTACTGAAGCAATCAGCTTCAATAAGCTTAAATAAAATAATTACACACAAACATCTTCAAATCAGTGAAGTCATTAGAAGTAGACCATGATTGATTTTAATGGATCATTGAGGCAAGCGTACGTACACCCAGAGTTTTAATATTTTAATAATGTTTTAATATTCCATTACCTTACCTAAACAATTTAGAGGTCTGCTTCTCAAACTCTTTCTGAAAATCCTGATTTTAAATCTGATTATGATTGGAGTGGCCGTCATGGATCGGCTCGAGATAGTTTAAAATATATCAAGCATCCAAAGCAATTGACAGTGCATGAGAGTGGGGAAGAAGAGAGCACAGACAGGGTGGAGTAGGTGGAGACAAGTGTCTGGAGCAATTTGTTACAGAAGGGTGGCAGCAAGAGTGGAGCAGAGGTTTACAAGGTGGTAGAGAGACCTGCTGTGATAAATGGTTTGGACATAGTGCACTGACAAAAAGACAGGACGTCGAGCAAGAGGAGGGACAGGGCAGGAGGAAAAGAGGAAGACCGCAAACATTATGCATGGATGTAGTGAAGAAGAGCATGCAGAGCAGCCAAAACAAGTCCTTCTGCAAACTTTTATTTTCCCCACAGAAGTCGGATTCATTGAACTTCATTCATTCTTAATTCTATATTTACTCTCCCCACCTGTGGGGGCTGTATGACCCTCAGTTTAAAGACCTCTAGTGTAATAAATAAAACCTATTTTATGTGGGAAATTGTCGAAAATGGAAGATTTCACAACATGATATGCACTACCAGAAAGTGAGAGACTATGGAGCACAATGGGAGAAGAAGGAGACTTACAGGTGAGCTGTTCAGCACTGAAATGGGCCAATAACCAAACTCAGTACATAAAGCAGGGGTGGGAAACTCCAGGCCTCAAGTGCCGGTGTCCTGCAGGTTTTAGATCTCACCCTGGGTCAACACATCTGAATCAAATGTCCAGTCCATTAGCGGGCCCTGGAGAACTTCAAGACCTGTCGAGGAGGTAATTTAGCCTTTAAATCAGCTGTGTTGGATCAAGGACACATCTAAAACCTGCAGGGCACCGGCCCTTGAGGCCTGGAGTTCCCTCACCCCTGACATAAAACCATATCTCCCCTCCTCCATGTGGTGACAGCAGATGGTTTGGTCCAGCTCCGCCCTCTGCCTCCTGTTTTGTTCACCTGGAGCAGCACACAGGTAATGAAGTTTAGTGTAAACCAAATGTGACGCACTGAAATACTGTCTAGTTATTAACTGTTTTTTAAATTGTGTGCTCATGGATAAAGCCAAGGACATTTCAGTGCACGAGAGTGGCTTCAGTGTATAAGCAACAACCTGCAGGGCTGAAAGATTAAGCTAGCATACAAGTACTCAAAGCTGAAGTTCCTCTAGTTACCACTTGAAGCTGCCTCCATTGGAGTTAATAGAGACAGACTCTTATTTTAAAATATATAAATTTAGAGATGAAAATAACATGTTTACATCCAGGTGCAAATGTTTCTTCTTTTAAACTGTTTTTGTTGTTCTTGTTTTTTTCTGGCTTATTTCTCCCATCATAGCAATTGTATAATTGGCTCGTTTTCTTAATAACTTATCCATATGGGTAATGTTAAGGTTTAAAGTTATAGTTTGGAACTGAACCCCTTCACTGTGCTGGTACTTTCTGCATCATTTTTATGGAATAATCTCACATACTGCCCAACAAGTCTACCTCCCAGCGCTGCTGAGTGAAA